ATGGGTTAATGTTGGACTTGTGGGCTTGGGCAGCACTGGGTTGGGATGTTTTCTTGATGTGCACTTACCCTTTATATAAAACTCTCTCTTATACATATGCGTTTCTGTGGATTTGTTTCTCTAATGTACCCAGACCAACACAGAATTGCTGGTGGTTTCGAACTGTTCTTGACCTTAGTGGCCCAAAGCCTAGCCACTCAAAACCACAATGAGCTGTCCTTTCAATACCACTACAACAGATAATACAAAAGTTTTTTGTTTTTCAGTTTTCCTTTTTTTTTAAAATCATTTAAATGGGGGCTCTTTTAAAATTCCATACATCAATTCTATCAAGCACATTTGTAGATATGTTGCCATCATCATTTTCTAAATATGTACTTTCTATTTCAGCCCTTGGTATCAGCTCTTTTTCCCCTCTCCCCAAAAGTTTTTTTTAAAGAAATAACAAATGTGGGTGAGGAGTGAGATAGTGAACCCCTCATCCAATGGGGTTAAGAATGCAAAAAGTGGGGCCACAGCAGCTGTGTGGTGGTTCCTCTAGAAATGAAGGATGACCCGGCAACTGCCCTCCGGGCCTGTCCCGGGCACAGAAGGGGGAGCACAGGCTCAGAGCCATGCATGCCAATGTGCACTGCAGCACGACGGGCAAGAGCCCCAGACAGACACCCTCAACTGGACACCTGTCCACAGGTGAATGGGCCACACCACAGGGGTGCCATCCCTGCAGGATGACTGACCCTCGGCCAGACGGAGGAAGTGAGGTCTTGGTGCATGCCCAGTGTAGTCAGCCCTCAGAGACGTGAGTCACCAAAGGGCAAATATTGTAGGACCTCACTTATGTAACAAGACAAGAACAGGCGAGTGTACAGAGATCCAAGTTTCTGTGTGGTCACCAGGAGGGGACGTGGAGGCCACAGCGTGCGGAGAACCAAGTGTCCATTTATGTTGCTGTTTGCCCGCACGTTGGTTCTGAATTGCAGCGACCCTACGTGTCAGAGACAAAACGCTGCGGCCCTGGGCCACACTCACACTGCTCTTACGTTGGCTTCATGGCCATGGAACGGTCGTGCAGATTAAGGCGAGGGCTGCGGTCATGAATATAATTGCTGTCAAGAAGCTGTCTACCTGTGACGAGCGGAAGGGCAACATTTGCAGGACAGATACATTTACAATGACAAAGGGCGAGGAAGCCGCTAAGGCTGCAGCTGTGCAATCAAACCCTGAGTGTGCCTGGGTCTCTCGCTTGCAAGCAGCCATCCAAGGCCTGACAGTCGGGCTCCAGGTGCCTGGGGCCACAGAGGAAGAAGGGGAACTGGGAATAGGAGGAGGGTGTGGAGTGTGAAGCTAACCGCCCCCGAGAACCGCTGCCTCCTTTGGCCCAAGATCAAAGGAACGGCACAGACACCACTGCTGAACATTGGGGTCCAAGAGCCTGCGTGAGAATCCC